ACTTTGAAAAAGGATCAAGCCAGTGGCTTGTTCTTCTTCCTTCCGGGATTTACAAGTTTCGAAAGTATCTTCCTCGATATTCTACTCGTTTTTTTAAAATCGATCAAAATTGGTCGGTTTTATTACAGTGCTTCCTCTCACGTCTCACTTTCCTGTCGAATTTGTTTCAAAATCTTCTCTTCTGACGAACGAAGGCAGCAACTGTCGATTTCGGATAAATTTGTCGAAGGCTAGCATAATATGGGGAAACGCAGTCTTGTTGTTGAGTAATTCTCTTTCTCGCAATTTGAACGGGAAGTGTGGGAAATTGTAAGGAGTGACGTATCAATGCAGAAGATATCGATTTGTTAACTTGCGTGATCTCGTGCATCTTTTAGATTCCACCTAGGAAGAGGATACGATCGTTAACGAAGAATGGAGATGCTCATTACCCGTGAAGCATTATTATTGCGTATCAAAATTTCATTTCGGTTTCTTTCGCTAGGAAGCTTCAGCGAACTGGCGGAATCGCGAAACATTACGTGATTCTGACACGCATAAAAGGCGAATTGCTTAGCTGGTTGCTGACTTTTCCGGTGCGTTGATTTTGGGTCAATGCCAGCAGTCGATCAAAGCACGTTGAAACGCACTGCCAGTGTCCGCATTCGCGGATAATAGAGGATTTATAGAAGATAAATAATTTAGATTAAAACTTTGTGAGAAAGTTGGAACAGCAGTCTTCCAATTTTCTTAAACTCTCGTTTCTTTAACGAGACGGGGCAGATATTGTTGCGCAACTTTATTTACTCTGATCACAGCGTTCGAACAATTTCGTTCGCAAGCCTTATCAAAGGTGAAGATATCGAAATTTCGAAAAAAAAAAAAAAAAAAGAACAGGTTAATCGATCCGTTCGTGAAGGACATTGAGTTAATAATCTACGACGTTCTTTCAAAGGAAATACGATCTCGAGTGCAAACACTCGGACGAGTGGATATAGCAGAAGTAGTGGGAAAAACGTAAAAGTTTCTGGGCTTGTTGCGCCATTTTTATTTTTCATTCGAGGATCGTTGCTTTCATCAGCCGTGTGTCAGATGCCTGCGTAAAAAGTGAGAATGACGCCGCGCGTTGGTCGTCATTTTCGTGCCGGTTTCTACTGTACCTGTCACTGACTGACTGAGACTAATAGAGCACAGTGCGATGTCACGCGTCCGAACGCGCCGAGATTCTCGGGGGCAAATTGCTCTCCCGTTGTTTTCTGTCTGCTCAGGGCCCGGTAACGCGGCGGAACGATTGCTTTTTAATGAAAATCGAATCGTTCCCGCGCGCACCTCCATTCTCTCCCAGTGGCACGCTCCCTTTAACGAGAGATCCGTTTCAACGGATGGCACGCGCGTATTCTTTGTAATTACGTTTGTTACGCGGCTTCGCTCGCTCCAGCTTTTAGGCAATAATCGTTCACCGTTATCGTTTGTTACGCTCCGAGACTTGAGAAAACTTGCCCGTTAGTTGCATATTGCAAAGTCGTGTCGACGATGAAAACTGAAACTGTACATTCACGAGCGTTTTTTTCCTCTCTCTCTCTCTCTCTCTCTCTCTCTCTCTCTCCTGAACTTATTAGTTACACGCACGGATAATTCGAAAGAAAGATTAATTCTTTTCTCCAAATTATTTATAAATTACAAACTTATCAAGATGTAGTTTCCTCATTAATCTCGTTAATTGATACACTCAAGTCCGAAAGTAAGATCAATTTTTCAATAGCCATGCTCGGTTAAAGCCCATTACCACTTGTGACTTTGTTTTTGCACGCAGACAAATATAATTTATCGTTCGTTGCTATCGTAATCATTTTTCATGCTTTTCTCGCCATGATATACTCGCAATTCGCGTTCCGTGAAGCTTACACCGGATAAAGAAGTGGAGAATTCGAGAGAACTCGCTGGAAATTAAAAAATTACAATATATTTCTCGATATATTATCGAGCAACGTCAATTCGAATACTATGGAAATATTCAATTTAATATTCCTAAATAGTAAGTTTTCGTATGGCACACATACACAAAAAGCAAGTCCGCGTTTGTTGGTACGTAACAGATCTTGAAATTCAATTTATTTCTTGACCCTCCATCTCATTAAGATCCCGATCCTCTGCAGCAACAAAAGATTTAACAAACACCGCTATCATCGGATTATTTATTATCGCGGTACTTTCTTATGGTTACGGCCGCTCAATTAACGAGCCTCCCAGTAACAGCAATTTCCTTTTCGCTGCCTGTTACAGTAATCGCGGTTCAGCCAGTGTATTTTGTACTTTATGGCTCGCCGTTCATGAAAAGAAATTAATAAGATACCAAGTTGAGCGTCCGAATACTTATCAAAATATTGGTAGATTTATGTTTTCCAAACATCCTCTGTATCTATTATATTTAATTAATGAAGCCAC